AGTCCCAGCCTTCCCACTTAATAGCTTGAAAAACAAATTCATCTCTCTCATCCTCAGTTTTCTCATCTATAAAATGGAGATTAGCACCTGTTTGTTAAATTGTGATTGGGAAAGGTACACAGATGGCCCCCAACTTACAATGGCTCAATATATGATTTTTTGACTTTATCTGATGTTCTCAATTTATGATGGTTTATCCAGAATTAATCCTATTGTAAGTGGAGGGGTGCCTGTTCTTGAACACACTCTCACCTAAATGCAGAAATGAAATGAAAAGTATTTGATAACAGCAGTCATTATGGCTCAATCATAAAGAATATGGCCATACCTGCTGAATCAGAAGGTAGCTGTTTATTTGCAGGTAGAGAGAAGAGGGTAATCTTGTGAGGGCACAAGTCAGTTGGGCCTTTTTACCAACTGATAAGGAGAAACTATCACATTTTAGCAACCATCCTTCTGAGCTTCAGCTGAGCACCAGCTTTGCCTCAATGTACAAAACCTGTTTCCTTACTTACTCTTAGTACTTATCTTTCTCTGGAGAATCCTTCACCTTCCCATGCTTACTGTTGAGAAACTAAACTTGCCTATTCAAAGTAACTCAGTCAATTTCATTTTGGATAAAGTATCAGTCTTTAGGATTTCCATTCCCACCTTCATGTTCCCTTATAGCAGGGAGTGTCTAGGCATTGGTGTGAGTTTATTTAACATGATGTGCTGTTCCTGCTGAATCATACTGACTCCAGGGAAATCAACCTCTGCCTTATAACATTCCAGAGCAGGAGTACCTCTTGGTGATGACCCTAGGGAACACAAGCTATATAATTTGTAAGACAGTGCAAAACGAAAATGCAGGGCTCTTGAAAATCACTAAGAATCACTAAGACTGCAACAGCACATCACTAAGCCAAGGACATGGGCCCTTCTAAGTGTAGGCTTTGTGCAGTTGTGCGGTTGCATGCCCATGAAACCAGGTCTAACTACAAAAGGTTGTTCACCCTCCAGCCTCCAATACAGGCCCACCTCATTGCAAGCCACAATAACTCCCAGGCAGGCACACTGACTCATTCCTCTGCAATCTTCTCTGTCCCTGCTCCCACCACTAGGGTCAGGCAAAAATTTCTAAAACAAGGTTTCTCCTGCTCACCAGAGGAAATGTAGCAGCGGCATCTTCTCAAGTTCTCTCTCCCTCCAGTACCACCAGTATATTCGCCCCCACCACAGCCCCCAGGCCAACATGGGACACCAGTGAGGCAGTCTCCTGCCACAATTTAAACAGAAACACGCGGCACTTTCCTTTCCGACTCTTCCTTGGGCGTTTGAATTCCAACCTTCTTATCACAACTGGCCTGACTGGGTCCCACATCTGCCCTTTTTCTCAGAGTTCAGGAAAATACTTCAAATTCTCCAAGCCTCTTTCTTTTCATCGTTTCAAGTTATGGTCTTCCCTTTCCAGAAGAGGAAAGCAGTTCTTCTTCCCTTCCCTGCCTGGGAGGAAAGGCCTTTATAGCACATTGTCTATCCTTTCTACAAGATGCCTCTTAAAATGAAGCTGATTGAGCCAAGTCCTAAATTTTGCTTTTGTATTATAAAGTTATTTTTGCGAGAGGGCAGCAAACAACAACAACAACAAATTCTCTCTCTCTCTCTCTCCCCCTCCTTCTCTCAGAGCTGAGCTTCTTTTAAAAACTATTATCTCACCGTGACATTTTTATTTTTAATCATTTTTTCATATCAAAGCTGAGTATTGGCTTTTTTGTTACAACTGGTATCCATCCCTCCCCAGAGCAATCCCTGTTTACTTTATGTAAACAACACAAGAAGTTTACATAAAGAAATCAAATACTGCACCTAAAATACTTAGCAGTAACAATGCATGTAAAATACTCAGCAATAGTAAATGCTAAATAAATGATAGATACAAATGCTTATTATCTGTGCCATTATTATTATTACTATTACCTATGTTATCAGGAAAACACCATTCCAGTTTCTTTGTCCCCTTGCCTAAAACCAGATAGAATGATGTGTGTAAGTTCTTTGAACTTTAAAATATATATATATAGCCTAAAGGAAAGCAAGGTATTTTTGTCAAGCAAATTATTTTGCATAGCAGGTTTGAAAAACAAACAGCCACTCCTGCCTCTCTGATATTACCACGTAATCAAAAAGAATTACTCTGCTTTTCAGAACCTCACATATAGTAGATTAAAGTGATTAATTTGGTTTCTGATACGCTATCATTTTTTTTATCAAAAAAAATGGCAATCTCATATGGTTTAGTCTAAGAGTAGGATGGTCTCATTTGTATTAGGTCTCTTCCATTCATAGACTGAAAGCTAGAGAAGAAGTTGCTATGGTAACCCTAAGAACCAAACAGGATCACAGAATAAGAAGGGGGAAGTGTAGTCCAGACTCATCAATTTGCAAATGAAGACTTAAAGCTCAGAGAGGTGAAGTGAGTTTCCCAAAATATCGTGGCCAATTAGTGGCAAAACTAAGCTCTGTCTGTCCATACTGGGCTTCTTCCTACCACACCAGGCCGCCTGCCTGCCTTCTTTATGTTTGTCAAAATATGTTAAGAACATTCCAGCTCCACTGAGAAATCAGTACTCTGAGGATAATTAAGGCAAAGATCAAAGGTTAGACACAATCCAGGGTAAGAAGCATGGTTTTCAAAGACTTTTGGTAACAATAATTAAACTTGTAAAAGGACAAATGTCAAAATGAAGGTGTTTGCTTTTTAGACATTATACTTTGGGGATGTTCCTGAAGAAACTATTTTTAAGCTCCCTTTACATGACCCCACTCTGAATTTGAGACACGTATTTTTCAGTGTCTCTTAAGCGAACAGCTTTTGTTCATGCTTTATTGTTATTGCTTCAACATTATCTTAAAACCTCGACTTATTTGCAAGTATAATTCATAATTGTCACTAAAATATTCAGATAAAATGTCAAACAAGACAAAAAGGAAACATTTTAAATAGCTCTAACCTCAGTTCCTCATACTCATAGTTTGCAAAGGAGAAAACATCACCAACTCCAATCTCCCAATTTAAGTAATGAATACAACGCATTAATGAGTGATGTCATTCCTAGCCGCCATCACTGTGACTTGCTATTGCTGTTACGTTGCTATAGGCACTATACTGGTGTCTCTACAAAATTAATTCATTTGATCTAGGTTGACCCTGCAAGAGATGTACTGATAATCCCAATATGCAAATGAGGAAACTGAAGCTCAGAATAGTTCCATAATTTGCCAAGGTCATATAACGAGTGACAGCCAGCTGCTGAAGGGAGAGAAATAGAATCATGATGAATTCTACCTCCATACCACCCCATGACCAAACAGACATCTGTTCATCTCATTCTCTTATGCTCCAACTGGGACAGTAGCATCTAAACCATTCATAAGTCCCAGCTTTTGCACGGCAAGCTCTATTTAAAATATTCCATTCTATTTTCAGAATAAGTCATATGTCCCATGGGAAGTTCAAAAAATAAGGCCACTGTAGCAGCAGGAATGCCAGAGCAATTGCCAAATCTGCAATTTACACCTCTCTTATTATTATTATCTCCCATAGGGATTTAAAAATATGTCTGTACACTCTTTGATACTCCTCCTCAAAAAAGTAGAACTGAATGTCCCAACTTTGAGCCTGAGCTGTGCTCAGTGAATGAACAGAATGTGATAAAAGTGGCATTGTAAGACCTCCCAGACAAGGGCATAAAAAGAATGGTGACTCCTCCTTGCTTTCTCATGGATCTCTTACTCCAGGGAAAGCCAGCTGCCACATCACAAAGCACTCAAGTAGCCTTGTGGAGGGTTCCACATGGATAGGATCTGAGGCCTTTTGCCATCTTGAAGGTGACTCCACCAGCCACAGTCCAGCCTTCAGATGACAGTCTAACTGAAGCCTTCAGATGACAGACATTCTAATTGCAGCCTTACAACAGACCCTGATCTAGAACCACCCAGTTAAGCCACTTCTCAATTTCTGAACTTCAAAAACTGTGAGATAATGAATTCATGTTGTTTTAAGCTACTAAGTTTGGGGATAATTTGTTATAAGCAATAGATCATATGCCTTTATTCCTACATTATACCCTTTCTTATAACAAGGCAAAAAAAAAAAAGCTGAACTATCCATGGCTACAAAAGCTGCCATATCAATAAGCCAAATATCTTCCTTGGTCCAGGCATACTTATAACACACCCAGGCCATAGGATTCCTGGAGGGTACTCTCCTCAAGACCTTCACTTCACTCAAAAAAAAAAAACGTAAGGTTGCTCCTTGACCAGTTATATCATGTCCCGTACCTTGTGAGGTATGGAAAAGGAGAGAAATAATCAGACTGATAAAAAAGAGCAAAGTTATTATCTGTCAGATCAGAGTACTCTCTTTAAATGCCCTGCATCTGTGTGATGATAACTATCCTTCTGTGAGAACATCCTGTATCACAAAGTTCTAAGCTTCAGCAGTTGAAAATAGAATATGTCCTTAAGAGCAGGAAGCCAATTATTTCTTTAAGTGTATTATTTTCTCCCCATCAAACTGAAGGTAGTTCAGGTTGAGTAAACAACATAGCATACTCAGTGAGCTTAAAGAGTAAAAACCTCCCTTTGGAAAAGTGAAAGTTGCCATACAAGGTGGGACATGGTCCTGAGCACTGAAAAATCTCAAAAACAGCTAAGAAGTGAAATGGCAACATCGTTCCAACATTATGAGACTAAAACACGTCAAGGTTCTTGTCAAACAGAACACATTGTTTTTCTTTAAGCATTCCTCAGAGGAAAACTCAACAGAGACTTCTAAGGAGCTAAGAAGATGGGAAGTGGTGGCCAGAGCCTCTTCCCATCTGCTCCTCCTATTCGAAGGAGAACGTTACTATCATAAAGATAATGTATTCTTTAGTAAAGTCCATTCATCATGTCCACCCTGACCGAGACCACAGCAAGCTGCCAAGCCCAGGAGAATTTGAAGCGTTAATGCTTACCCAGCCCCTTGCGGGTCCCAGTCTTGTCTTTAGAGTGTTTTCTTTTCCCTCGATGCTCCAGGAAAGGAAGGCCTCCTATCGTTTCAAAACACAGCTTCTTGTTGATGAAGAGGAAGAGGACCGCCAGAAGAACAATAAAGACCCCAACAGCAGACAAGAAGCCAATGGCTTCAGGCGTGACTGGTGAAAGAACACAAAGGGAAAAAAATATCATCACAATTAGAGTGACCTAAGTTTCGGTTCTAACAAATTATGATCAATGCTACTCAGAATCTTTGCTTTTATTAATGAGAAATGACAAATACTCTACAAGTCCTGACTCTGGCTGACATCCCCCAAGACTGTGTACAGGGGAAGAAAAGGACTGTTGACCAGTACATCCCGCTACACTGGCTCCTCAGATGAGAGACCTCTCTGCCTTTGAATGTGTTTCTTCTACGTGGAGCACAACTTTTCTTGCTCCTATCCTCAGCCCAGTATTCAACTTCAAACACACAAACCACAAAAGAGAGTTCAGTCAAATGGATTTATTTTGCATATTTGATGCAAATCTCCAAAAATGCAGCTGCCTAAAGCTTACACAATCATCACTTGAGACAAATTTTCAGAAAGATACTTCCATCAATATTAGTGATTGGAGGGAAAGTCACTTCCTGGATACATTTTTGCATATCCAGCTGGCCAACAATTTGATCATGGTTATCAACGGCAATAAGAAAATTACTAATTCATGCCATCCATACAAGAAATACAAATTAGAGTTTTGACTACCAATATCTTAGCATTTTGGAAGATGAAATTCCATTTCTTCCTTCCTCTCCTTCTTCTCCTCCTCCTCATCATCATCAGTGTCAAAAACGTCAGCCCTTTAACTGGCCTAAGTAATACCCAGTATGCCTCAAAGAGTTCCAGCCATTGCATTCAGCTATGAGCATATTTAACAGGGATTCCAGAGCTAGTTTAGAGTTTAGGGAAGAATCCTCTAAGGAAGTGACATATGAGCCAAAATAACATTCAGTAAAGACATCCAGAAGTTAACTTGTATAAAAGAGTTAGATTACAGAATAAATGTCATTAAGAATCATCCAAGGGAACTGGGTATATGTGAATGCTTATGAAAATGAATCTCCTTAGAGCAGCTTTAACCACTGGACAGGCTTAATATATGATTTAATAACACAAAGCCTTAATAATATGAAGGGAGAATACTCACCTAAACCTACTATCCAGATAAATAGAGAAAAGATGAATAAAGCCAATCCTAACACCTTGAAAAGATAAAGAAATATGTGATACCTCCTTACTGAATCAAACCTAGCGGCAAGCCAATATAAGAACTAACAAAACAAAAATAGCAGGCAAGATAATAGCTTTATAGTCGGTGAAATAATAGCAGTGCCCACTATCAAAACCAACACATACCATGAAAAATAAAGTACATGCATACTGACTATGCCCTCTCCCTTCAGAAGCAGTACCCAGTAGTAGTAGTTATAGGCAAGGGATCAGCAGTCACAGTGCTTGGTTGAAATGACACTACCACTACTATCTATGTGGCCTTCAGCAAATTATTTAACCTCTTTGTGCTCCAGTTTGCTAAACTGTAAAATGAGAAAATAAATACAGCCACATCAAAGATTAAAAGAGGTAACACATGGAAAGTAATCTGTGTGGCACTTGACAGAGTCCTTAAACAGGAGTAAACCATCTTTCTCAACATCACCAACCAACTTTCCAGAGCTACTGAACTATCTAGAATTGGGGAACTATGGGATGGATCTGCTGCTTTGTACTCCATGGGAGCTCCGGATCCCATCTGCCTCTCCTCTCTGGCTTCTAGCCTGTCACTCCTGTACTGTCAGTCACCTTCCCTTGTGGATGCAGTGTCTTTCTCATTTGCATGAAAAATGCACCAAGTGTCTCCCATGCTTCAAAATTCCCTCCTTATCACCACATGCTCCTCAACCACACCCCTTTATCATCTTCTCTTCACCATCAACCATCTTCAAAGTATTTTCTACACTCATCACCATTTGTTTTTTTCTGAAACAGAGTCTTACTCTGGCACTCAGGCTAGAGTGCAGGGGCGCCATCTCAGCTCACTGCAACCTCTGCCTCCCAGGTTTAAGCGATTCTAATCCCTCAGCCTCTTAAGTAGCTGGGACTTCAGGCATGTGCCCCTACACCCAGCTAATTTTTGTATTTTTAGTAGAAATAGCGTTTTGGTACGTTGCCCAGGCTGGTCTTGAACTCCTGACCTCAAGTGATCCACCCGCCTCAGCCTCCCAAAGTGTTAGGCTTACAGGTGTGAGCCACCACATCTCCACTTTCTTACCTCTAAAGTCACTGGTATTCTGTACCACTGACCTCCCTGTTTCTAGCCTTGCCCTCTCTGAAGTCCATTCTCACACAATAGCCAGAACAATCCTTTCGAAATGTGTCAGTCATTTCATTTGTAAGTTTGTTCAGTTGCCCTTCTAAAGCTTTCTATAGCAGGTTGAACTGTGGCCTCAAGGACATACTGTGAGTATGGTTGAACTGTGAGTCTCAGAAGGTGACCCTATTTGGAATAAAGGCCTTTGAAGATGTAATTAGGGTTAGGATTTTGAAATGAGTTCATCCCAGATTAGGGTGGTATGTAAATTCAATGATGAGTGCACTTATGAGACAGCAAAAAAAAGAAGGCACTGAGAGATGAAAGCCATGTGAAGCCCAAGACAGAGATTTGAGTTTTGAAACACCGAGTTAAGGAGTGTAAAGGGTAGCCAGCAGTCACCAGGAGCTAAGAGACAGGCAGGGAACAGTTCCTCCCTCAAAACCTACAGGGAACCAACCTGCCAACCCCCTGATTTTGAACTACTGGCCTCCAAAACAGTGACAGTAGATTTCTGTTGTCTGAAGCCACCAAGTTTGTGGTAATCTGTTGCAGTAACCCTAGGAAACGAATGCACCATCCAGTGGTTTCCCATTACCCAAAGGAAAATGTGAATTTCCTAACTCAGTTTACAAGGCCCTTCATGACCTGGATACTGATTCCAGCCTTTATCACTCATTACTCCCCAACACCAAACTCTTTCTTGTCACTGTGTTCACCTATTTCTGGTCCCCTAAACACAGGTCGCACCTCCAGATCATTACATATTTCAACTCCCTGGGACAACTGCTACTCTGGCTACTCTGACGCTGCGCTTCCTTTGAAAACCTTTCTTGTTCTTCTAGACAAGGCTGGATGCTTCCACAGTGTGTTGCCACCTACCAAACCCTTGACAGCTTCTTCAACCAATTTCAAATGTTAAACTTTAAACGTCATAAGAACAGGAAGTATGTCTGAGTTACTCATTGTACTCTCAGCAGCTAGCATATGCTAAGCATTCAATAGATCATTTGTTGCCTGAATGAATATTAGAACTCTTCTATGTTACAACACATTGGCAAATGTGCTGATCAGTGAGAACTCCTGGAAAGATATATCTCAAGGGGTCAGTAAAACTCCCAACGTGGGATATGATTTATGTTAAGAAAGGTCTTGGAAAAAGAACATTCATATATAAGCAGAAAATTTGCATATCATAATGTCATTAATTAATGAAACTAAATGTTTATTTTTAAATAAAAGATCTTTTTCCATCATAAAAGCAGTATGGGGCCGGGCACGGTGGCTCACGCCTATAATCCCAGCACTTTGGGAGGCCGAGGCAGGTGGATCACAAGGTCAAGAGATTGAGACCATCCTGGTCAACATGGTGAAACCCCGACTCTACTAAAAATACAAAAAAATTAGCTGGGCATGGTGGCGCGTGCCTGCAATCCCAGCTACTCAGGAGGCTGAGGCAGGAGAATTGCCTGAACCCAGGAGGCGGAGGTTGTGGGGAGGCGGAGTTGCGGTGAGCCAAGATCATGCCATTGCCATCGCACTCCAGCCTGGGTAACAAGAGAGAAACTCGGTCTCAAAAAAAAAAAAAAAAAAGCAGTATGAAACTCACTACATAAAATCTGCAAAATATGGAAAAGGCAAAACAACTCACTACTAAGATTTTGTGTGCTTCCTTTCAGTCACTTCAGCTACTTGGCAAATATAAAATTGTAAAGACTTCACTATTTTGGCTTATAAATATTTTTACTGTTTAAAAAGTTTTAATTATGTTTAAAGAAAGTAAAGAAAAATAAAAACTTCATGCATACAGTAGAATGTTTGGAAAATATTAGAAAATATTTAAATGATGAAAATGTTCTATCTTAACACCCATCACTGTTAAGATTTTAGCTTGGTAAATAATTTTTTCTTAACTATTTTTTGTCATAATTGAGATACTACTGTATATGCTTATATTAATAAATTTAACATAAAAACACTCACAGATTGAAGGTAATATGAAGAGATTATTCAATATAATCTCCAGAGATACAAGAAAAAGTCTAGAAAATGGCCCTCATGTTACTCAAAATAACTCTGCTTTTTTGGAGAAAAAAATTTGCATTAATAACAATTCTTGTAGCAAAGGCTTAACTATGGATGGGTAAAAAATGTTTAGGTAAGTCCCAATATTTTTTTTCACAAAATTATATAGACATTACTCCATAAATAAGTGTGGTGCTGCAGCTTACTTTTTGTTACTGTATGGGCAACAGAATTTTTCAGTCTGTATGCTCCTAGAACTTTTTCCTTTATAACACAAAAATTTTACCAGAATGCATCTTTCTATTAGTCTCTTTTGCTCATTTTTCCTGGAAGACAGATTTCATCAAATATCCAGTTTTTTTCAAGCTTAGGAGAGTTTTGATTGCATCCTTGATACTTTCTTTTATTTCAACTGCTCTTGTTCTGTATTAAACAATGTTACTATTTATTCAGCTACAAACTTTCATTTTTCTCCATTTTTTTCATCTACAATCTGACAGATCTTAAACATTCCCTACACATATTCACTAAGTTAAAGAAGTTAAAATATGCTCATAACCATTCTGCCATATGCACTATTATAACCTTTTAATATCTGAGTCAGAGACAAACAGTGAAGATATTGTCTTTTTCCATCTTTTCAGGCTGGGGCAGTGGTGACGGGTGGGGAACATTAGAAATAAGTTCAAGTCTAGCTGAGGAGAGAGAAAGTTTAGTTCAGTTAGATAAAGGCAAGTTTGGTTATCTCAAAAGAGTTCACGTTTCTTCCAGAATCTGTTAA